GGGGTGATGGTGGTGTCTTGTAGGTAGAGGCTAAGGATGCATGCAGCAATAAGCAGGACAGCCCTATATTTAACAAGGGATCCAAAATGCCAGTAGTGTCGAGATTGAGAGATCTTATCCTGAATGGAACACACTTTAGCCCTTTTAGAGGTCAGTGTAAGCCAGGCAGACAGTTGAAGTGTGAGAGAGAGCATCTGTGTGGGCAGGAGTATCAGGAAGGCTGGATCCCAAAAAGCAGGAGATGACTAGGACAGGCCCAAGCATAGCTTCTGCATTCATGGGGCAAGAACTCTTCCCCAAGACTCCTTGCCCTGAGTAAGGCTAGAATACACTAAGTGGGACTGAAGCATTGGTCTACTCTGTGACCCCCAGTGTCTGCTGGAAACAACATGGAGGACATCTGTGGAGAGCTCCTGCTACAGCTGCACCAGCAGTATCCAGGTGACATTGGCTGTTTTGCCATCTACTTCCTGAACCTGCTTACCTTGAAGCCAGGAGAGGCCATGTTTCTGGAGGCCAATGTGCCTCATGCCTACGTGAAGGGAGGTGAGCCCCTTTTCAGCAGAACTGCCATCCCTGGTAGACCTTGTTTTCCCATCTGGACAAAAAGAGGATGGCTATGGATACTTTCTCTAAGGTCCATCCATCTCTAATCTCTGAGAGCTCCTGGGCAGAAAGGGAAAATGCCAGTAGGTATGGTGAATGTCAGCTTAGCAGTAGACACTGTTTATGATCTTCTGCCAACCTGGAAGGTAATAAGACTGATGTTAAGTCCTGTCAGTGAGTGTGGGAACTGAAGTTGGAACCCAGGCTATATTGGACAAGGCTGCTCTTCTCTCCCTTACATCATCCAGCTTTTACATGCCTATTCTGTCTACCATTTTTTACTGTACTGGGGATTGATCTCAGTGCTTTACCACTGAGCTACATTCCCTTTTTGTTGTTTGAGACAGGGTTTTCTTAAATTGCTCATGCTGTCCTTGAACCTGCAGTTTTCCTGCCTGAGCCTCCCAAGTTACTGGGATTGCAGGCATACGCCACTGCACCTAGCCACCTGGATTTTTTTTTTTACATTAATATATGCATCAGGGGGGCTGGGATTGTGGCTCAGCGGTAGAGTGCTCGCCTAGCACAGGCAGCACCAGGGTTCGATCCTCAGTACCACATGAAAATAAAGGCATTGTGTTGTGTCCATCTACACCTAAAAAAATATTTAAAAAAAAATATATGTATCAGGGCTGGGTGCAGTGGTGTATGCCTGTAATCTCAGCAGCTCAGGAGGCCTAGGCAGGAGGAAGTTCAAAGCCAGCCTTGGGCTGGGGATGTGGCTCAAGCGGTAGCACGCTTGCCTGGCATGCGTGCGGCCCGGGTTCGATCCTCAGCACCACATACAAAGAAAGATGTTGTGTCCGCTGAAAACTAAAAAATAAATATTAAAAAAAAAAAGAAAGCCAGCCCCAGCAACTTAGCGAAGCCCTAAGTGAGACCGTCTCTAAATAAAATACAAAAAAGGGTGGGGGATGTGGCTCAGTGGTTAAGTGCCCCTGAGTTCAATCCCTGGTTACCCCCACACTCCCCCCGCCCCCAAGAAAAAAGATATGCATCCCCTCAGAAGGTGATTAATATATATTTTTAGTTGTAGATGGACACAATATATTTATTTATTTACTTTTATGTGGTGCTGAGGATGGAACCCAGTGCCTCACATGTGCGAGTCAAGCACTCTTAACACTGAGGTATAGCTACAGCCCCTCACAGGTGATTTTTGACTGTTGGCAGCATCCACTCATGCCTAGGAGTCTGTCACAGAAGTACGACTAGTCAGGAGGTTTGGGGCTCCCCTAGGGGTTAATATGACTCCTCCTGACCTGTCACCTATTTTTGGAGTCTGGTATCTTAACTTCATTCTCCCAGAAAACAGTATTGTATTTACACATTTTTACCTAACTCTATAAGGGGTTCACAGACTTCAGGTTAGGAGGCCCAGCCTCAGAGAGCCTTCTCCAAGGCATAATTCATCAGCTTAGCACATGACAATTGTCTGCCCCCAGACTGCGTGGAGTGTATGGCATGTTCGGACAACACAGTGCGTGCTGGCTTGACACCCAAGTTCATCGATGTGCCAACTCTATGTGAGATGCTCAGCTATACCCCTACCCCCAGCAAGGACAGGCTCTTCCTCCCAACACAGAGTCAGGAAGACCCATACCTCTTCATCTATGACCCCCCTGTGCCAGACTTCACCATTATGAAAATGGAGGTAAGTGGGAGAGGGGATGGTGAACTGGCAAGGACTACAATATGGAGTATACCTGGGGCTGGGTTTCCCTTCTGTCAAGCACACCTACTAGTGACAGTTACAGGGCCCATCCACTCTATACCTGGGACCTCCATGCTGATAAGAGCTTGAATATTAGGGGAGGTGGCAGCAGGGCTGTTCCTCACTGCCCTTGAAGTTGTCCTGAGTCTGGGACCTGATTGGTGCAGAGTCTAAGCTATATTATCCTGCTTCTTCTTGCCCAGGTCCCTGGCTCTGTCACTGAATACAAGGTCTTGGCACTGGACTCTGCCAGCATCCTCCTGATGGTGGAAGGAACGGTGACAGCCAGCACTCCCACAGCACAGGCTGCAATCTCCCTGCAGCGTGGTGGGGTGCTCTTCATTGGGGCCAATGAGAGTGTCTCACTGAAGCTTACTGTGCCTGAGGACTTGCTGATGTTTCGGGCCTGCTGTCTGCTATAGAGACAACTGCCTTGCTAGCTCTCCTCTGCCAGCCACTCTAGCTCCAGGCCACTCCAAGCCCTTTCCTTGTTTTGCACTGTGTGTGCACCCTAGAAAAGCTGGGGAAGTAAACCTGTGGGTTGTGACTTCCGAGCATGCCCAGGCTAAACCATCTTCTCTTGGGATGAAAGGCCCATTGGAGGGCTAAGGCCTGATCCTTCTCTTGTATTCTGTTACCACTCCTCACCACACCTGAGCCAGGCTCTTGCCAGTTCAGGAGGCAACAGCTGTACTCCAGCCCACGGTATGAGGCCGTCTAGTGAAATCTGTGACCCATCATTACCTCAGCATCCATCAGAGCAATTGGTAAGGTATAATTTAAGAACAAGGTTCTTGCCTTGGGACTACCTACTTATTTCTTCAGCTGTAGAGGATTGGGAAAGGGTAGGCTCTCTTGCTCTGTCAAAGCAATTAAAGATCACTTGTTTTGACCCTGTAAAGAACATTTCCACCTTTGGCATTTCTGTCCCTGAAGTTGGCTGAAACAGCCCTCCCTGAACGTTGTCCAATTTTTGCTTTATTCCTACTTATAAAGTGGGCAGGCTGGATCCCAGAATCTTTTTATAGCAAGTAGTAGGAGAGAAGAAGCCACTTTCAGCCTTGGATGCACAGTTTGCAGGCATGCCTTGAGCTCTCCAGAAAGAGAAGATGAGTATAAGAATATACTAGTGCAACACTCCCTTTTTTTAGTACCAGTGATTGAACCCAGGAACATTTAACCACTGAGTCACATCTCCAGTCCTTTGTTAAGTATTTTATTTAGAGAAGGAGTCTCACTAAGTTGCTGAAGCTGGCTTTGAATGGGCAGTCCTCCTGCCTCAGCCTCCCAAGCCACTAGGATTACAGATGTGTGCCACCTCAACCAGTGCAACACTCCTATTTTTCAATTGACCTTAATCAAGAGTCTGCAAACTAGGGCTGGTAGACCAGTTCTGGTCACACCTACTAATTTACATACATTTTGGCTGCTTTCAGGCTGCAATGATGAAGTCATGTAGTTGCACCAGACTATGTGGTCTGCAAAGCTGAATTTATTCATTTTTTGCAGCACTGGCTCTGTCACTGAGGATTGAACCCAGGACTTCATGCAGGCTAGGCAAGCATTCTACCACAGAGCTACATCCCCAACCCCCATTTTTTTTTTTAACTGGTGGTGCTAAGGAGCAAACCCAGGACCTTCTGTATGTTCTACCATGGAGCTATACCATACCATTAGCCCAAGCTGAAACTACGAGAAAAAATTGTCAACTTATTATCTAAACATATTGTCATTATAGATTACAGGGATTCAGTGGCAGAATGATCCAGTTTCCATTGTGAGAAACTCAGCTACCTCTCTTAAGCTGGCAGGAAGTACTAAGGAGGGCATCTGCTCTCCTTGTGCTCATCTCCAGGGGTGAAACACACTTCTGCAAGAGGCTGCTTGCCTGCTGGTGTCACTGCTGAGGTTTCTAACCTGCAGCCTTAAATCCTTTTGCTCCAGACTATGCAAAGACTCAGACCACTGCTGCTCCTTCCTGTGGGGCAAAGGCTTAGACTCATAGAGAAGAAAGTTTCTGGGCTTCTATACTACACCCCCTATTAAAATGGCATTTCAGAAAACTACCTTCAAAAATATTTTGGGACAGGATATGGTGGTATCTGCCTGTGATCCCAGTAGCTCATGAAGCTGAGGCAGGAGGAAGATTGGAAGATCAAAACTTTGAGCCCAGGGACTGGGGTTATGACTCAGCAGTAGAGCGCTCGCTAGCGCATGTAAGGCCCTGAGTTCGATACTCAGCACCACATAAAAATAAATAAATAAAGGTATTGTGTCCAACTACAACTAAAAAAAAAAAGTTTGAGGCCAGTTTGGGCAACTTAGTGAGATCTTGTCTCAAAAGAAAAAAAGGGTTGAAGATTAGGTCAATGGCAGAGTAGCCCTGGGTTCAGTCCATAGTATCATAAAAAAAAAAAAAAACAATTTTTTTTCCTCTAAAGTTTCTTCAGCTGATAATTAAAGATAAGCAGGAAAGAAAGGGTCTGCTAAAGGGAACCCATTCTAAATAGTGACCTGCAAGGGCCCATTCCACTCATGATCTCCAGTGAAACAGGCCTGAAAATGATGCCCATGGGGAACAGCAGAAAAGGGGAAGGGTGCTTCCTGGGCTATTAAGCTATTTCTTCCTTTTAGCATTCCAGGCCTTTCTTTAAAATCCTGTTGCCACAACAGACACAGCTCAACTAGCATGACTGCATTTATTCTTATTAAACGTACAAGGGTGTATAAGTACAAGCCAAGAGGTCTGTAGAGCACTGTGTAAATACCAGATGGAACCATTCCTGTCTGTGAGGGAAGCCTAGATGCACCCCTCTCCATAGGGGACAGTCAACTGCATAATAACATCCAGCACTCTGAATTAAGGCTATTTGGCTCTGAGCAACTTGGAGCCTTTACTGGTGGTATTTTGGTCTGTGGCCCTTGAGTTGTCTCCTGCTCCATATCCCTGCAGCTTTCTCCACACGTAATTCCTACACAGAGTTGTTCAGCTGCGGAATATCCCTTCCAGGGAGAATTGCAGCCAAGTGCCCCAGTGTTGATTACAGCAACAACTTACGCAGAGGGTGTGATTTTGGGGTCCTGCCACCTCCCAGCAGCTGCCAAAAGCCCAGGTAAATCTCTCCTAACCAAGCCTCCCACAGAAATATGGATCCATACCTGGCTTCCACAGCTACCTTGTGCCCTCACTAAGTCTCCACCACTATCACAAAGTCTTTCTCTATATTGTCCACATCTGCTCTTCCCCTCCATAGAAACCTGAAGGCCTAGAAACTAACTGGTAGGGTAAGAGGTTCAGAATGGAGATGCTAATGTTCCGTGCTCTGAATGTTGGGCACCTTGGTAAAGTTGCAGAGTCTCATTCCAGAACAGAAAAACCATCTGCCTCCTCTGTCCCCAGACCCCAAGGTGATACACCTCTGGTCTCCGATCTATCTCCCTTCTAGAATGCTTCTAGTTAGCAGAGTAAATTAACCACAGCCTCTGAATACTGTAAGCTCCTGTCAACCTTCCAGTTTGAGAAAAACAATCAAGCTCTATTAGGATGACCTTGAGGATAGTTGTCCAACAAATGATGATTAAGGTATATTTTATATCTAACTTCTCAGTCTCCCAGTCACCTCTTGTGGTAGGGATACCATACCATGTCCTGTAGTGGTCACAGGACATTATGTAAAGCAAGAACTTGGACACTTTTGCATGGGACCCACACCCTAATCCTATGCCCCTTGAGCTGAGAACCCTGTCCACTCCCACCTCACCATGGTCCTGGGTGAGGTGGAAAAAAAAAAGAATGGATGAGGTGCAGTGAAAAACTAAATTCCAATAAGAGGCTAGGTATAACGAGAAATTATCCAGTGGGGGCAACAGGGGGAATTATGCCTGTTTCTGCTATGTTCAGGCGGGGGCCAAGAGAGGCTAGGTTCACACTGTGGTTTGCCTTAAAGCCCAATCCTTTATTTTTGGCAGAGCTAGGGGTTGAATCCAGGGATTCACAAAAGCTATGTAAATGCTCCTACACCCCCAGTCCATAAAGTCGAATCCTGAGCATCCACTGTGAGGCTGAGGCAGAGGAATCTGGCTCCACAGTGGCTTGTACTACAGGGGAGGCTCTGTGTAATGGTGGGCTGATCTCAGGAAGAGACCTGGTTTCTAGCTTTGGTCTCTCCTTCCAATTCTGAGAGCTGCAGTCTAGGCCAAAGACCACAAAGCAGCACCAGCAGAACACTCACTCTACCACTTCCCACAACTTTAAAAAGCAACAAATAGGAAGGCACTCTGCCTTTGCAGCTCCCTCTGCTGGTAATCATGAAAACTGCAGGCTTCTAGAGCCAGTGCCAGTACTTTCATGCCAACCTTCCAGCTCAAAGACTGGGTGGAGAAGCTAGCTCAGACCAAGGAAATATAAATGAATGAATATGTACATGATGGACCAGTTTTTCTCTAGGGAAGGGCTGAATGAGTTACTAAACTTACACAGACATTGAACTGGTACAGTGTCCCCCAGGTTCAGGAATTCTGAAAGCCATGATCCTGATGTGTCATTAAGCAACCTGTTATATTTACTGCCACAGCCGGACAGATGTAATATGAAGAGGACAAAAGGGATTTACTTTGCTGTCTTGGTAAGACAAGAGAATAGAGGAGAGGATTATAAGCCAGGATATGGAACAGAAATAATTGCTGCCCAAAAGGCAGCCTCACATTCCCACATCAGTGCTTCCTTAATCCACCTTAGAGTTGGGAAGAAGAGGAAAACACAGAATTCTTTGTACTGGTCTCAGTTAAAAATTTGAAATTCCTGGCTACAGGCTGTAAAGTGGTGTCTCCTGCCTCCACACATCTACAGCACAGCCTGAACTCAAAAGCTCTCTTTTCCTCTTCCATACAGCACCATGACAAATACCAATAAAGATCTCTGCAATTGGTTTTCTTAGCCACCTGTTAGTCAAAAATCCTGTTTCTGCCCTTATTAAAGTAGTTTCTCTAAACTGCTCCAACAACAGAGGAAAACTGCAGAATTCTATCCATCCCCTCATCACCCAGATTGGAGGTGGGGCTCTGGCCTGAGAAGCACCAGGTGAGGGCTCTCCTGCAGGTTATGGACCTTCCCAGAGAGTCAGTGCCTCCACTGATTGTGAACTGACAGCAGTTCTCACTGCACTCTGAGCTATGAAGGGCCAACAGAGTTCTGTAGGCCTCGTGGTGAGCAGGGTCCACCTTGGAGAATTATGGCTACTGGAGGGTACAGGAAGAATCCCCAAGACAGCACCAGCAGCAAGAGCATGTGGAGGAGGCCATAGGCTTAGGGGGAATGAGGTCCAAGTCCTCATCATCTGGAATCTCATCCAGGTGATACCCATCTTGTAGCAGCTGCCGGCTCACATCCTGGTTTACCTGCTAAGAGAAGAGAGGAGGGGATTATAAGCCAGCTGCCTAAAAGGCAGCCTCACATTCCCATATCAGTGCTTCCTGTCCATGCTCCACCCCCAGGCCAACCCCACACAGCTCTCCTGACTATAGGAGGAAGTATCACCTTTTCCTGTTGTGCCTTCTCAGCAATGAGGGGCACCTAGGAGCCTTAGCTAGTAATGTCCAGTATTCACTGACTCTCAGGAGCTGCTCTTACTAAAGAATCCTTAGGCACCTGGTACTAACACCAAATTCTAGATTATGTTGGAAGTCATTGTTCTTATCTTTCCCACTGAAAACCCAGATGTCCCTGTCAAGCCTAAAGAATATAGGACAATGATAACAGAACAACAGGCTTAGAGTCCTGGGTTACTGTGGAAGCAGGCAGGGAGCGGCTTTGTTTGTACTGCCTATTAGACCTGTTATCCTTCCCTGCCAGCCAAGCTGGGTCCCTGCAAAGTAGAACCAGCCAGCCTGGTTTCACCAGTTCCACTGAGCAGACAGGAAATAAATAAGGCAGGAAAAAGTATAAGATTTCCTCTGGTTCTTGGCTATTTTCTTAGTTTTAACACTCTTAGATACTCAAGGAGGATACAACATGCAAACTGCTTTTCTCTTTCCCAGAAACAAAAGGTTAACCAAAGATTCCAGGAAAATAAGGAAGAAATATTGGTGGTCTGCAGTTATAGACCCAGAATTTTACCTCCTTTAAAGGGAGTTAGCTACATGTTGGACCTTTTTCTTTCTTTCTTTCTTGCAGGGTCTTAGCTGGGCAAGGTGGCATAAACTTTTAATACCAGTAACTCAGGTGGCTGAAGCAGGAAGATTGTAAGTTCAAGGTCAGTCTCAGCAACTTATTGAGACCCTGTCTCAAAAAATAAAAAGAACTGGGGATGTAGCTCAGTGGTAAAGCATTCCTGGGTTCAATCTCAAGTACTGCAAAGAAAAAAAAAAGAAAAAAGGTCTGTGTTCCCCAGATTAACCTTGAACTCCTGCCCTCAAGCAGTCCTGCCTCTGCTTCCTGAGTAGCTGCAACTATAGGTGCATGCCACTGCACCCAGCCAAGAATTTTATGTTCTTGGATTTCTATCTAGGACAGAAATATGTCCACAAAGCCAGCCAGGAGTATCTCAGTCTGGAACAACTGAAGGAACTGAAGTTTTTTTGGCCTAGAAGAAAAAAAACTTGTGGAAAAAGAGCAGGGGAGTGTTGAAGGCTGACCTCAGATAGGACAGTCAAAAGGGAGATTAGAGTTGCTGCTGGAAGGCAGGTATAGGACCAATAAATGGGTCCAGGTTGCATGAAACATTTCAGATTAAGAAGGAAGACTTCTTGCCAGGCACAATGGTGCATGTCTATGATCAGTTACTCAGGAGGCTCAGTTCAAGGCCAACTTTAGCAACTTAGTGAGACCGTCTCAAAAAAGTAAAATGGACTGGGGATATAGCTCAGTAGTAGAGCATCCCTGGGTTTAAACCCCAGTACTGGTGGTGGGGGTAGTGCAGGGAGACTTCACTAAATATTACTAAAGAAGGGGTTATGTATGTGTTGGGGGTGGGTAGGAAGCAATGCTTCTTGGAGGTACTAAGTACCCAATTACAAGAAGCATACAAGCAATCAGAGGCTAGTAAACTCTTAACTAGGATCTATGAAAAGGATTCCTTTAAATTGTGGTCTAGACTAGAAAATTTCTGAGGTAATTTCCAACCCTAAGGATATACCGTCTCCTGGATTTTCAACAGATCTCCTAAGACGCCTATACCTCTGCTGGGGGAAGAGGGTAGAGTGGAAGATCGGAGAACAGACCGGAAGTCTGGTACAGTGCTGTGCTCACAGCAGGCACCAAACAAGCATTTGGTAGTGGTGGTGATGCTGCCTGTAGCCTGGCCCTGCACAGAAAGGCGCTCTGGACTTGCCTCTGCAGAGGAATACCCGGAAGAGTATCTGGATTCCAGCTCCCCATCACTAGGAGAAGAGGGAGACAGTCAGTTCAGGAGAGGCCTGTGGAGCACAGCTGCACATGGCAAGGTGGAGAACATGCAAAGGGAGGGGCGGGTCTGAGGGATTTGTGAAGCAAAGACCACACCATAGAACTCAAGCCCAGAATTTGCAGTGAGTGCAAATGGCTTCCTCAATTGGCTCCAGCAGGAATAAGGTCAATCTCACTAACAGTGCAGATATAATACATTAGGTCAGGATGATTCCCTGGAAACATTGGAGTTCCAAACCTAGAGCAGGATGATTACCTGTGAATCTTCTAACCAAGCCATCCTGGGAAAGGATAGCACTCAGAAAAGAACCTGGAATGTGCATGGAGGGCCTCAGAGGAGACAGGAAACAAGCAAAGGCACCAAGCTATCTGCAATGCTATCCAGGTCATTCCCCAAGGGGTAACACTCACCTGTCAGAATCAAGGGACACCAGGTTTTCATCTGGACTCTGGCTAAGAGCAGTATAGCCCTTGTTAAACTTCACTGACCTAAGGGAAGTGGGGAGGAGAAATCAAGCATAGATGAAAACAGGCATTTCACAGGGAAAGGCTTGATTATGAAAAAACTGACTGCACTACTCCAGACTGCCTTCTAACTGGTCACATGGTCACCACTGCCTATAGCTCCATGCTATTTGGCTTATAGCTCCTCAGAAAATGTACTGCCCCATTCCACTCCCCAACCCATGCTCCTGGGGAAAGTATACCTTGCCTTTTATGAACCAGCAAAAGCACCCCCCCCCCAACTACCTTATTTAATCAGAAGTTCTTGGGCAAATCCATTCAGTTCTGCAAGTTTCAGCTCTCAGCACTAAAAGAAGGCATTGAAATGGGTAGCAGTGGATCATGCCTGTAATACCAGCCCACTCCTGCTGAGGCAGGGGCATCGCAAGTTCAAGGCCAGCCTCAGTGAAAAGTGAGACCCTAAGCAACTCAGGGATACCCTGTCTCTAAATAAAATATAAAATAGGGCTTGTGAGTGGGTGGCTCAGTGGTTGAGTGTCCCTGAGTTCAATCCCTGGTACCAAAAAAAAAAAAAAAAGGCTGGGGATGTGCCTCAATGAAAAAGTACCCCTAGGTATAGTGAACCTGACAGGCTGCCGTCAGGGAATCACTGGGTCAGCCCTAAACGTGAGCACCCCGTCTCCCAGGCTGAGGAATAACGACTTTGGAAATTGTCGGCAGAGAGGAGGTGGAGCCCGCTGAGACCTTTTCCCTGAAGAGTCGGGGCGGTTCGGCAAGGAACCCAGCATGCCTTTTCTCCGCAGAACAGCTTTGGCCAGGTCCCGGTGCTTCTCTGGAAGTCAAAGGGCCCTAGTCAGCCGAGTTTCCCCCAGTCTGCCCTTGTCCCATGAACGCCTGGAGACCGCTCTCCGAACGGATTTTTGGGGACGGAAGCGGAGTGCATCGAACCCTTCACTGGGTGCGAGACCACTGGGCTCCAGGACCCGCCCCAGTTACACGGCAGCATAAAACCTCGGACCACACTTACGCAGCTTGGCCTGAATGGACGGCGCGCGCGTCACCATGTACGGTCCACGCTTCTCCATTGTAGCAGGGGTATGCTCCCCCAGCCGGAGGGCTCCGCTGGCGCTCCTCCCGGAGGGCGGTCCCACAGCTCCTGCCGCGTGCCCTGAGGCCCCGCCAGGCCGGGCTCCGGGGGTGGCAGCCCTCATCGCCAGCCCGCCGGGCTCTGCGGTCGCCATGGCCTGGCTCCGCCCAGCTGGGTGTCGCAGCCCCGCCCCGCCCCACCACTACCGAGCAGTCCGTAGGCCCTGGCGGGCGCTTCTTTAGCAAGATGGCGGCGCGCAGGCGCGGGCCGCTCCCCACGGACTTTCCGGCCTAGTTGCTGAGCGTTGGCACAATGTCCTGCTCTGCCGGGAGATGGGCAGTTTCGGTCTTGCTCTTCTGGTACACAGCTACAGAACTTAAGTCCGTCTGGGCCTGGCGAGGTCGAGGCTGTCAGTTGTTTCTAGTCGAAATCGAACATTGACATTTGCCCAGAGCCTTGGGGTGTGCACCGGCTGAGCGTTAAGGGTTTATGCCCTTCCACCGACCCACTCTCTAAGCTCTAGCAGCATCTTCTTTGCGGTCTTCTCGCCACAACCCGAGCTCCCTGAGGATGGGCTCGGGAGAGCTTGGGCTGGAGAGAAAAGATCCATAGACAGTAGGGAGGTAATCGCAGAAAAGAGAATAGGCCTCAGAGGTTCAAAGATCTTGCGAGGTGGCACAAACTGGCTGCAATGCCTGGGTTGCTTAATCCGAGGCCAACCCCACCTTCTTACGCCACGCCACGTGGTGCCGGACACCTTGGACTGGCTGACCCTTTCTAGGCCTCAGTTTCCGCGTTTTACAGTGAAACTTTGGAGTTGAAGGTGTCGTTCAGTGATAGAGTGCTTACCTTATATGGGCAAGGCCCTAGATTTGATTCCCAGCACCAAAAAATACAAAGTCGAACCATGTCACTATCTGTTCTACAGTGACAAAAACAAAATAGGCACAAGAAAGGAGAGTCAAAGTGTACTCTTTGAGTCCCTGTGTGGCAGGATAGAGAGCGGTGTCAAGGCTCTTGACTTCTCCAACCCCCAAGGGATGTGCTCGTGGCTGGCTGGAAGTAAATTCCAGATCCTTATAGAACTGCCAAATCTCATGAGACTGTTCCATGGCTAATATATTGGCCTCCACAGGGTAGTTCATGGTATGCAGACTCTGAACCCCAAGAACTGTCTTCAGTAGGATAAGAAGAAAGAATTTCGGGCTGGAGATTTTGAGAAATCAAACAAATGAATCATATTTTGGTGTATCCTATCTCCTGCATAATCTGTTGGATCATTTTTGATGTCCAGAAACATCAATTTCATATGGCTCAATTTAATGTTTAATCCACATTAACTCCTAATGAAGCCTGCAGTTACTATTATACAAATGAGGCTTAAACGTGGTAAAACTCAGTACTTAGTGATAATTTGAACCCAGGTCCCCGTTAATACCCTGCAAAAGCTGCCTGTGCCAGCTACTCTTTTACTGTGTGCGTGGGGAAGGGAGGATAGGGATTGAACCCTAGAGTGCTCTACCACTAAGCTACATTCCCAGCGCTTCTTTTTAAATAAGTAAATAAATGTATGTGTATGTATATGTGTGTGTATATATGTGTATGTGTATATATACACACACACACACACTTGTAGGTGGATACCTTTATTTTTATGTGGTGCGGAGGATTGAATTTAGTGCCTCACACGTGCTAGCAAGCGCTTTACCACTGAGCCATAACCCCAGCCCCCCACCACTTATTTTTTATTTTGAAACAGTTCTCACTAAATTGCCAAGGCTGTCCTCAAATTTGCTATCCTGCCTCAGTCTCCCAAGAAGATGGGATTACAGGTATGCACCACCAAGCCAGGAACTATTCCAGATACTTTTGAGGCTGAGGTGGGGGCTCACTTGAGGCCAGGAGTTCAACCCAGCCTAGGCAACATAGCAAGACACCAAGTCAAGAACAATAAAAAGGGGGCTGGGATTGTGGTTCAGTGGTAGAGCACTCACCTAGCATGTGTGAGGATCTGGGTTTGATCCTCAGCACCAGATAAAGATAAATAAAGGTATTATGTCCATCTACAACTAAAAAATATTTTTAAAAAGAACAAAACAAGCCAGCCTCAGCAACTTAGTGAGACCCTGGCTCAAAATAAAAAATGAAAAGGGCTGGGGATGTAGCTCTGTGGTAAAGCACTTCTAGGTTCAATTTCCAGTACTCAAAAAACAAAGCAAAAATCATCAAAAATCAGTACCCAACATCATAAAGGAAAATAAAGAAAAAAAAAAATGGGGCTGAGGGGCTGGGGTTGTGGCTCAGTGGAAAAGCACTTGCCTAGCATGTGTGAGGCACTGGGTTCAATTCTCAGCACTGCATATAAATAAGGATCTATCGACAATTAAAAAATATTTTTAAAAAAGAAAGGAAGAACTTGGAGAAGAAGTAAATACAATAAAGCCTTTTTAAAAAATGGGGCTGAGGGTATAGCTAGCTCAGTGGTAGAGCACTTGCCTAATGTGAGAGGACCATTAGCACATATACACAAAAAAAGGAATGTGTGATATTATTACTTTACAGTGTTTTAATTTAGTCTCATTTGCCTTCATTTTGTATCCTTTGTTTTTAGCACAAGGTCATTGCAATAAATATGTTGAGTGAATGTCCTATTTTCCCCTCTAACTTTTAGTTAACTTAGAAATCATAGAATTTTGGAACTGGGGACATGGTATACACATGTAAAATCCCAGTGACTTGGGAGGGTGAGGCAGAAGGATCACAAGTTCAAAGCTAGCCTCAGCAACTTAGCAAGATCCTGTCTCAACAAAACAGAAGAAAAAAAGGGGGAGGGGGGCACTAGGGATGTGGTTCAGTGGTTAAGCCCTGGCTGGATTCAATATCCAGTACCAAAAAACAAAATACATTGGGAACGTCGTTCAGTAGTAGAGCACCCCTGAATTTAATTCCCAGTACTGCAAAAAGAACTTTGGGGGTTGGAAAGGATCTTAAATATGTCTATAAATATATATGGGGGCTGAGGATATAGCTCAGTTGGTAGAATGCTTGCCTCCCATGCACAAGGCTGTGGGTTCAATCCCCAGCATCACAAAATAACATATCTCATACATTCTAAACTAATTAATGAAGAAACTGTTATCTTGTGATAGTTGTGACCAATTATTCTGATCTGGATATGTGCAGTTTCCTTTCCACTTAAGAATGTCCAAAAAAAAAAAAAAAAATTCACTAGGAACTTAAGAAAAATAAATTAGCCTCGTTCCCAAAACAAAACAAAACAAAATTTGGCTGACCTGGACACAGGGGTGCATGCCTATAATTCCAGTGGCTTGGGAGGCTGAGGCAGGATCCCAAGTGTGAGGCCAGCCTCAGCAACTTGGTGAGGCCCTAAGCAACTTAGTGAGAACTTCTCAAAATAAAAAAATAAAAATGGCTGATAATGTAGCTCAGTGGTATAAGTCCCTTGAGTTCATTCCCCAGTACCACAAAAACAAACAAACAAACAAACAAAAAACAAACAAACACTAGTTTATAAGAGGATGAGGCCCTAGGGTAAGAACTGCCAGAACATACAAGGCATAAAGCCCTTTCTTACCTTGCTACTATAAACCCTAACCCATAGTGACTGTGCTGCACCTGGGAATCCTCAACTCTTATATTCAGCAAAGCTTTATTCACCTCTGATTCTGTGGCAGGTGCTACAATAAGACCTGCAGACTTAATGATGACAGATAACATACTACCCCATCTCCAGTTCCCAGTCTCATTTCTTTGTTATTGGGAATCGGGGGAAGTTCCTTGTGGAGATATTCTTGGATGTTAGGAGCAAAGACAACCTAGTTTTAGGGCCCTCTTTCTCCTTTGGGTGGTCATATCCTTTATCCTCAGCTCTAAATCATGAGAATCCTACCTATTACCTAATCTTTCTTGGTCTTGAAACAGATGAATCTCTACCATCAGCTTAACTGTTTCTGCTCTTCACTGGAGCTGAATTCCTTCATATAGGCAAGTTATTTGGGGCTAGATATCAAAAGAGGATGGTAGACAGTGATTTTCTTGACACATGGAATTCAAGGAATGGCTGAATGCCCAATGCTATGAAGATCAGAGATACAGGAAGACTTTAAAGAATAACTGGACCCACACATGAGGGCTACCAGGACATTAACTATATTGTTTTGTTGTTGTTTTTTGGTACCAAGGATTGAACCAAGGGCACTCAACAACTGAGTCACATCCCTAGCCCTTTTATTTTCATTTTTTGAGAGTCTCACTAAATTGCTTTGGGCCTCACTAAGTTGCTGGTGCTGGCTTCAAATTGTGATTCTCCTGCCAGTCTCTGGAATCACTGGGATTATAGTTTATGTACCACCATGTCCAGTTTTTTTTTTTTTTTTTGGTGCTGGGGATGGAATTCAAGTCTTTTACCATTAAGCTACATCCCCAGTCAGACAGTGATTTTTTTTTGATCCCATTATTTTGCTGAGGAGGTGCTCTTCCCATCTCAGAAATTTCTCACCAGGTGTGACTATCTAGTTCAGGGAAACTTCAACTTCTCCCAGCACTGGTAGTACAGATAACTAACAAATGGAGTATGTAAATATGGGAGTCTTTCTAGGGTCCCAGGGCCGTGCCCTACTTCTCCCCCAAATTAACTCATATTACCTCACTCCCAGTAAAGAGATTATTTCCCAGTCTTCACAACAGCCTCATATGACACTGGTATATCCACTTCAGATGAGGAAACTGAGGTCACAGAGGTTAACTGACTTGTCTAAGGCCACAAAATTTTACAGGTGAAGAGTTGATTCTTTTGTTTTTGAAGAGAGAGTCTTGTTATGTTGCCCAGAATGATCTCAAACTCCTGTATTCAAGCAATCCTCCTACCTCACCCTTCCAAGTAGCTGGGTTTATAGGTATATGATACTCTACTATGTTTAGAGTTGAATTCTTGTCACCAGTCAATCTCCCCTTGGTACTAAGGATTTAACCCAGTGTCACTTTACCACTGAGCTACATCTCTAGCCTCTTTTTCATTATTTACTTTGAGACAGGGTCTCACTAAATTGCCAAGGCTGGCCTCAAATTTGTAATCTTCCTGTCTCAGCCTCCCAAGTAGATGGGATTAAAGGTCAAGTGTGCTTTAATGGTATTTTCCATGTTTTCATAAAGAAATGTGCAGAATC